ACAGGACATTTCTTAATCAAAAAACAATAGACTTACGCGAATCTAAAGAGGTGACATGTTAATGCTATTTTAAGGGTTCTTTAAGGCTTACGGAAGAAAAAGAACAGTAAGTCAGAAGTTATCCTCTTAAACAACTGGATAAAAATGAGTAGAGGCTTCTTAACTATTTCTATCTCCATAGAGAAAGTATAAGATTAAAATTATGACTTTATGCTAATGGTATCTAGTTGTGCAACAACAACAAAAAATACTTTCCAAAACAAGAGAAGTTTACTAGGGAAACCATCAAACAGTAGAGTACAAAAGTACTTGTGAGTGATAAGGCTTCTTCCATCTGAGACTTATCGGTCATTTTATGATCCTTTCTCTCCCCTAACTGTGGTCCAAATTTACCTCATTTAATAACATCTGGGCAGTGGAGACTTATGGAGGTTAGCAGAGCCATGCCCAACATCACACAACTATTTAAACGGCAGATGCAAGACTAATAGGCCTATCTGTCCCCCAAATTGAGCTCTTAACTGCCTGATGCACTCAGTAGGGAAGTATAAAATTAATATTATTATATTAATATTATTATAAAATTAATATTATTATAGCATTCTCAGTTTATTTCCCTTCTCAGTGAGGAATGAATTCGACTGACCAGTTTTAGCTACTAACCAAGAATCCTGTGAAGTAAATATCTTAGCGCAAAGAATATACAGGAATTGGTTTCAACAGTTTGGTAATATTAATATAGCTGATAACTCCAATTTTTAGATAGAACATTTTAGAATGTTTAGTAACCATGAAATTACTGGCTCTGTTTATATAAACCTTTTCTCATTTATAAGGTGCTTTGAGGCTATGGTAAGAGTCATAGGGGAAAAAGTAGTGAATTTCGCTCAAGCCAAATAAGAAAAAATCTAGTTGAGAAGGAAAAAATGTGAAAGTTCAAATGAAGCACAGAATATAGGTGTATCCAGCCACGAATGAGCAACTTTGTGATAATATTTCCCATACTCTGTGTAGTTTTTGTTAATGTAATTTTGTCTTCGGTTCATTTATTTTTTTGTCTTTTAATATATAAAAATGATTTTGATAAATACAAAAACACTTCGTTTTGACTATATTTTAGTTATTTCTACATTACCACATACTACTTCCTTAGTGACAATTTATTAATATATCAACATCCTATTTCTAACATGATATAATCATGAATTTTTTCACAGCAACTTCTTTGGATTTCTGTTTTCTTTGTCCTTATTGCCTGAAGAATGGATCAGCTTTGACCTCAGAAATAATGAAATCTAAGGGTCACTTTCCAACAACTATGGAAAGTGGGTTAGATAAGAAGTCACAGAGAAAGAGCATGAATTCAGTGAAGTCGGTGTCATTTAGATATTAAAAATTATGAGTTGTCAGTGACTCATGCCTGTAATCCTAGCTACTCAGGATGCAGAGATGAGAAGGATCACAGTTCAAAGCCAGTCCAGGCAAATAGTTCACGAGATCCTACATTGAAAAAAACCCATCACCACAAAAAGGGACTGGTGGAGTGGCTCAAGACATAGGCCTGACTTCAAGCCCTGGTACTGTAAAATAATAAAAAAAAAATTGCAGTATATCCAGCTATATTGTGCTTCAGTGGATTATTTATAGTGACACCTCTGTGACTATAGTAGGAAATACCTTTATGCCATGTTAGGGAGGGCAAACAGACAGAAAGAGGTTTAAACTGCTCTTACAACAAATTATTTTTCTACTGGGATTTTACTTCTTGTTTGGTGCTTTAATAAAATATTAATAATGTGTGCTTATAGACAAACCAAACCATTGCTAAATTTAGGCCAGGGCTTTCATTCCTATGCCTGTCACAAAGACCACACAAGTATATTATATTTGGTAAGGCGATTTGCAAACTTTACCACCTACAAAAAGTCTCCCCTCATCATTAGGGCAAGACACTTACTTTTGGTTAAGATAGAAGCAGACAGGATCAGAAACTCAAGTAAAATTGAATCAATTGGAAGATGAAGCTAACAAATTGGCAAGGAGAATATAAGTATTATAAACAAATATTTAAATCTCACTAAAGCTTTATACTTGTACATATTAAAAATATAGGATGTGTACAAACAGTAAATCCATTCCAAAAGAGTCATGAGAGAAAGGTATAAGGTATCAGGAAAAGGGAACATTCCCATTGCTGCCAAGTAAACTACATCAAATTCCTTGTTTATATTCAGGAGTATGGAGTCTATTAGAATAATATCAAATTTCAGTAATGATATTATATTGCTGTACCTTGTTGTATGGCAGCAAGGGGCTTAGCTTCATGGTGGCAGAATAATATATCATCTATCATGAAGAAAACATAATTTTTAGAGTTTCTTTCAATTACAGGTCTAAAACATTACTTAATTTTGGAAACATTTTGTCATCCTTGAATCACAGGCTTAGATACTTCTCTAATCTGTTGAAGTACCTTTGCAATTGGAAATGTTTGATTTATTGTAATGAGCATTCCCAGGAGTGTTTATAGCAACTTGAATCTTTGCTACTGGCTCAAAATTGGATGAGCTTAGCATGAATGACAGTTTATTTAGGATAAGGGATAAATATCAGTCTTCCAAAGTTACACAACTCTATTTTTACTGAGTTAATTAAAAACAGTTGACATAAAATTCTGTGTGATCAGAGAACCAATTCTCTAAATTAACATGTATCGAAATAAAAATGGTGCTGGGAAACAGTAGTTCACATCTATAATTTTAGCTACTTGGGAATCTGCAATCAGGAGGATCATGGTTCGAGGACAGCCTGACAAAAAAGTTGTGTGACATTATCTCCAAAATAACCAGAACAAAATGGACTGGAGGTGTGGCTCAGTGGTACAGGACCTGCTTTTCAAGTATGAAGTCCTGAGTTCAAACCCCAGTCTCCCTGAAAAAAAAATTACAATGGAAACATTTTGAATTAAGATGTTTTGGTGAAATTTCTCTACACAAAGTTAAGCCTACTTAAGCAATATATAAACTCACTTTACCCTTCAACAAACTAAAATGTGAATAAGATTTCATATATTTTGTTTGATATACTTTTAAATTCCATATTCTGGTTTTTAAATATGAAGTAATTGAAAACCAGCCTTAGTTTGCTTTACCTGAAAAGAAATTTCCTCACTTTTATAATGTCAAAATATCTTTCATATAAAAATATTTGAAATTTTTATTAACGGATGGATATCTCAGTATTACTATATCCAACATTAGTCCATAATATTATAAATAAGGATTCACTTATTACACAACGTAACACAGAACTATCATCCTGAGCAGTATTAATAAATACAGCAAACGGTTTTGAAAATGTTGGAACAAGAACATCAAATACTTGAGACATGTGTGTTGTCCTTCTTAGGAAACAGAATATTAATACCAACCCAATTTTTTTAATGTAACATTTTAAGTGAAAAAAAAGTAACTTATGGCTCTAGTCACTTGCAATGAATATAAGAAAGTGGAGATTATCACTAAAAAGTCAGATACAATAAACAAAACAATCATTGCATTCTATCCAAATCTAGAATATTAGCATTCATTCTTTTGAGACAATATATTTCTTGATATTATGACCTACTATAGTTCCCATTTCTCCAAATTCATTAGTAAGTCTATTCAAAATGATTCAAAATTATTTTTGCAACTTTTAAGCATCGTATAAATCAACCAGGTGAAATACTGATTGCCTTCCTTTTTATTCCAGTGAAGAATGAGTCATTTTCTTACGTTTTATGGTACCGATCTACAACTTCTTATTTATTTTGTATTTTATTTTCTTCTAGGAATAAAAGAATAATAATTGAAGTGATTACCATGAAATGACTAAATAAATGCACATGATCTCTGAATCTCATTTTTAACTTTTACATTTAAAATTATCTGATTAAAAAGAGTAAAGTGCAGAGTATGAAAGCATTTATTCAGCTAAATTAAGCATTAGATTTGGTTATTTGCTAAAATGCAGATCAAACATTAGATGATTAACTAAATGTGTGGCAGAGATGAGAGAATTTATATTCTAGCACTATAAAAATAAAAATGAAGAGCCTCACTTCTAAATTAAGAAAACAACCAATTAAAATAAGACCACTTTTTACATACTTTGGTAACCATTAAAATTTACAAACAGTAGTGTAAACCATTCTAAAGCAAGACGCCAACTTTCACTGACATCTTCATGTGTAAAATCAGATTAATAACCTACAAACAAAACAATAAAAATAAAGTAGTAAAAATAATTCCTAATCCACCCTGCATGAGTTTTAAAAAGCAGTACTCCTCTTATGTCATCGCCACAGGGCAAAATTAGTGTTGAGCCAGGTCCCTGGAGCCAGGCTGTGTGGGTTTAATCACAGTTTGGTTACTGCTCAACTGTATGACACCAAACAAGAAAGGAAAAGCAAGCAAGCCATCTCCCAGATGGCTCTAATGGCTGTGCTTTTGGTGACTTTCTGTCTTGACCTGTCAAGGCTAACTAGGAAGCAAGCACAGAATGAACTTTACTTCTTGGAATTGCTATAAGCCTCTGGCTGATACTGGCAGTATTAATTTTCTTTCTTCCCTAGTCTCCTCTCATTTCCCTTTATTTCTGATAGCTCCCTCATCCCTTGGCACTAATGGGTTTGAATTCAGAGCCCTGTGTTTGCTAGCCAAGTGCTCTAACACTTGAGCCATGCCCATAGCCTATTCTGCATTAGTTTCATTTTATTTATTTATTTTTTGGTGCCAAATTTTAAATATTTTTATTTATGACACTGCATTTTCCACTTACAATACAGTGCTTATAAAGTACAGTGCTATTTCCTTTCCTGTGCATCCCATGTTCCATATTCAAGTATTAAGAATGCCCAGTATAGAAGCTCAACTTTAAGACTGCTACAAAATTTGCTAAATTTGGGTTCTTCAAAGTTTTACTGTGTGGAACAATCCTACATCTATATTTGGGTTGACTTAATCAACCTTTTCAATGGTGGGCCCACAGGAAGCCCCACCAGAGGGAGGAGCTCCCCCACCAGGGAAGCCCCCAATCATTCCTCCTGACATGCCTCCTGCGCTCTGGTGCATCTTGGTAATGATGGGGTTGCAGACTTTCTCCAGTTCTTTCTGTTGATGTTCAAACTCTTCCTTCTTTTCAGTCTGATTTTTATCCAACCAATTGATGATCTCATTATCCTTGTCCAGAATTTTCTGTTTATCTTCATCTTTGATCTTGCCCTGAAGTTTCTCAACCGCAACAGTTGCTTTCATATTGAATGCATAGCACTCCAGCAAATTCTTGGATGACACCTTGTCTCTTTCCTTCTCATCTTCCCTTTGTACTTCTCTGCTTCCTGGACCATCTGGTCAATGTCCTTCTTGCTAAAGCAGCCTTTGTCATTGGTGATGGTAATCTTGTTCTCTTTTCCTGTACTCTTATCCACAGCAAAAACATTAAGGATGCCATTGGCATCAGTATCAAAAGTGACTTCAATCTGAAGAACACCATGGGGTACAGGCCTATGAGTTCAAACTTGCCAAGAAGGTGTTTGTCTTTGGTCATGACTTGCTCATCTTCATACACCTGAATGAGCACACTGGACTGGTTATCAGAGTAGGTGGTGCAGGGCTGTGCTGTGTCTGCTGGGTAGAAATGATAGTGCTGTGCTTTATGAGGACAGTCATGACACTACCAGCAATTTCTATACCCAGGGAAAGAGAAGTGACATCAAAGAGCAGGAAATCTTGAACATTTTCAGACTTGTCTCCAGATAGGATGGCTGCCTGGATGGGTGCACCATAAGCAACAGCTTCATCAGGGTTGATGCCCTTATTTAGCTCTTTTCCATTGAAGAAATCTTGCAGAAGCTTCTGAATCTTGGGGATTCAGGTAGAATCGCCCACCAAGATCTGTGACTTATCCAGTTTGGCATCTTGAAGAGTTTTTTCTATAGGGTCCAGAGTGCCATGAACAGGTCAGCATTCAGCTCTTCAAACCCAGCACAGGTGATGGAGGTGTAGAAATTGATTCTTTCATAGAGAGAATCAATCTCGATGCTGGCCTGGGTGCTGGAAGAGAGGGTATGCTTAGCTCACTCACAAGCAGTAGGTGGATGACAGACAGCTCTCTTGTTCTCATTGATGTTCTTCTTATGCTTGCATTTGAACTCAGCAGTGAAATGGCTGACCACTCAGTTGTCAAAGTCTTCTCTAACTAAATGGGTATCTCCAGCTGTAGATTTGACCTCAAAGATCCCATCCTCAGTAATGAGGATTGCCACATCAAAAGTGCCACCTCCTAAATAAAAAATCAGCACATTCCTTTCAGCACCAACCTTCTTGTCTAAGCCATAAACAATAGCAGCAGCAGTTGGCTCATTGATAATTCAAAGCACATTGAGACCAGCAATGGTTCCAGCATCTTTTGTTGCCTGATGCTTAAAGTCGTTAAAGTAAGCTGACACTATGACCACAGAATTGGTAACAGTCTTCCGAAGATAGGCTTCTGCAATTTCCTTCATCTTTGTTAGAACCAAAGTGGTACCTCATTTGGGTAGAAACTTTTGGTCTCCCCTTTGTACTCTACTTGAACTGGGCTCCTGCCTGCATCATTCACCACCATGAAAGGCCAATACTTTGTATCTGACTGGACAACAGCATCATCAACTCTATATTCAATTAGAGGTTCGTCATCAAAAACTATGTTGATAGGGTTCATTACAAGCTGACTTTTTGCAGCATCTCTGATCAATCATTTGTCAGAAAAGGCAACATTGCTTGGTGTGGCTCTGTTCCCCTGATCTTTAGCAATTATCTCCACCTTTTCATACTGGAAGACACCCACATAGGAGTAGATAGTGTCAAAATCAATGCCTATGCAGGTCCCTTAGACATGGTTCCTTGTGTGTACGCCTGGTTCTTCTAGAGAGGAATCAACATGAACCCCAAGAGTTGCTAACAAGTTCAATTAGCTTTAGTTTCATTTTAGATAAGGAACTCTGATTTTTGTTTGGGCAAGGCCTGGAATCCTCTTACTTCCATCTCCTGTGTAGCTAGGACTGCAGTTGTGTACCACCATGCTCAGCCTGTGTTCTGAGATAGGGTCTCACTAACTTTTTGCCTGGACTGGTCTGGAATGGTGATCTGCCTATCCCTGTCTCCTGGGCCTCTGGGATTACTGATACCACCATGCCTGGCCCACTTGTCTTTTCTAACAAAGCCATTTACACAAGTAAAAAAGTCCAACCAGGTGTTCCCAGATTCTTTTGCCACCCCATAATCTAGGTAAACTGGCCATTCTTGGGACCAAATTCAGCTAGCTTAGATCAGATGACTAAGTAACCATCCCATGTAAGGTTGCTATTTATAAGTTGTCATGTGAATTGGAAAGCATGGGAGGTCTCCATTAACAATCCACCAAAATTCCTAACGATTACTGTTTTCTGGAAATCTTTTAATTTACCTTCTATAAGCTTTATCTCATTTCCCCCTAATCCTTCAAGCTTTTATTCTTATTGAAAACTGTGCCTTTTTCATTTTCATTTCACTTGAATACTTGAAGACTATTTCTTCTTTTTGCAGATTAACCCATCCACTTATTTCATTGCATTCTCAAATCTGAATCTTAATAACTTCTTTTTGTTGTTGTTGTGCTGAGTCAGAGTATATTGTGGCATCCACAAAAGTTCTTACAATATATCAAATATATTATACTTGAACTTACCCCCTCCACCCTTCTCCTTTATCCTCCCCACATCCCTGTGGTAGTTTCAACAGGTATTATTTTTGCATTTGCATGCATGTGTTCACAGTATTTGCACTATATTCACTCTCTTCTACCCTCCCCTCTCCCACTGGTACCAACCCCCCAGGCAGGACCTAATCCACCTCCTGTTCTCCTACTTTGTTAAAAAAAAAAAAAACAAAGAAAAATGACATTTTTGTTTGTTTAAGATAGCTATGCAGAGAGTTTCCTTGTGACATTTCCATGTACATATGTATTGTAACCTGAATTGGTTAATCTCCTCTATTTTTCTTCTTTCAGCTTTAGTTTCCCTTATGGTAATTTCAACAGATTTAAAAATTCTAAATTCATTCTTATATAGAGAATACATCAACCATACTCACCTTCTTAACTTCCTTCCTTTACCCTCATTCTCTTGTATGTGATTTCCCATTACCATGACCTGCTTTTCATAACATTGCTGTCTTAATCTATTCTGCCATGTTGCTCTTACAAGACTTTCTATAGATGCCTTCAAGTCACTCTTCATTTGCATATAGCTCTTCTATGTGTGTGTGTGTGTGTGCGTGTATTCCCATTTCCGATATCTCCTGTTGACCCAAATACTATTCCTCTACAAAGGAAGCCCCTACCTGCTGTTTTGATGCTTTAACACCTATTTTGTTTCTTAATTTGTGAACTTCTATGCCTATCACAGTCCTTCATCAATAATGCTTTCGCACAGATTAGAGATACTTGTATAAGTTCAAATATCTATTTTCTGACCTTCTCTTACATTTGAATCTGTCTAGCATACTAGTTTACTCAATATTGTGAGCATTTGATAACTGTTCAAGGAGGAATAAATGAAAAGAAGAAACCACGCTGCACATCATCATGTGTTTTTTTAACTATGAGTCCTACAGTATCCACCAAAAACTGGCTATCTGTGCTGGGTTTGAAGTGTAATTTACCTTGACTTATAAATTTAAGTACCTGAATGTCCGTGATCCCCAGTTTTTCACAAATTTAAAATGAGGGTATAATAATTTCCTGATCATTGTATAACACTGTGGTCAAGATTAAAAGAAACAATGGTGATACAACTGACTGGCAGCCTACAAAACAATTCTAAATTTTTATATACAAAAATTATATTAAAATTATTTTTAACAAATTAAATTGAATTAATATTTCAGTTAAATGGAGAATTAGAAAACTAGAAATAAAAGTGAGGCCTAGCAACTTGGGAGGCAGAGATTAGGAAGATTGTGTTTCAAAGTCTGCCCAGGCAAATAGTTCATGAGACACTATCTCAAAAACATCCATAATAAAAAAAGGGCTGGTGGAGTGGCTCAAGGTGTAGGCCTTCAGTTCAAACTCCAGTACTGAAAAATAAAAGTGAGCAAATGGTAGGCATATATATATATATATATATATATATATATATATAATCAACATATATGAATGTTTATGTTTATGTCTAAAATGATTTTTCATTTAGAAAGCCCTATAGATTTGGAGGGCAGTTAAGAAATTTTATGAATTTTAAGAATTACATAACTGTAAATCTGGAAATTTTATTGGATATAGCTTAGTGAAATTCTCTACATTTATAGCAGAGATAAATAGTACATGGAAGTTGTTTTCATTTTTAAGTTAAGTTAAAGAAGATCTGAGTGTGAAGGGAAGAAGGTTTAGTTCTAGAAACAGAAGGAATATGCTGCTATATATTTTATGCATTTTATGTTCATACGTTTCTATATATTCTACAATTCCATTTGACAGCTTTGCAAGGGTTCTTCTTGATACAATTTTTCCCAATTGTTCTTATAAGCATATGTCAATCCATTTTTGTTTAAAATTATAAGAAAATCTTTAAAATCTAAATTAATATGTTTTTACTAAGAAGGTCAAATGAGCATTGAGAAAGTTATATTACATTAATAATAGAAGATATTTTACCTAAGGGAATATTCTAGTGGAAAAATGATGCTGACAGCAGATGAATGAAACAAAGGATTGGAAAGATTATTTTAACAGTAGGACATTTACTTTCCCACAATCCATTTACCCATGAGGAAATAGTTCAAGACCACCAACAGATGCCCGAAATCACAGAAAATACCAAAGCTGTATAATTTAACATAAAATACATCCATTTTCAAAATATACATCAATTCATTTTACATGCATTTTTGAATATGATACATATTTCTTGTAAGAGTAATATACTATACCCATTGAGCTGATGAGCCTCAAAAAGTAACAGTTTTGCTTCTGAAGTGATTAGAAGAAGAGTCCTGAGCCCACATCCCTAAAGAATTTCTGTAGGTGTGTACAAAGACACAATTAATGATCAGGTCAATTTTGTTTAACACTTACAGGTCTAGCCCCAAGGCAGGTACAATATTTCCTGATGGTCATGTGGCTAATTTATGATTTACTCAAAGTTTGTGAAATCTCATTCTTAAATTGAAAAAAAATAATGAAGTGAAGTCTGACAAAACAGTGAAGAGAAAGGAATCTCTGTAAATGTCCCAAATAATTCATTACCTGGGCTAATAGAACCAAATTTTTTTAACTTGTCAAAGCATAGAGTTTTTTTAAAAGAAGATCATAAATTTGGATTTACTTCTCTATTTAAAATAGCTTCTTGCTTTTTTCGAGGGCTCCCACCTCAAAATATAAAATCCTTTGAAAGAGAAGAATTCATACCATGAATTAGTATCACTTAAAAATATAATAAATATCTTAGCATGAATAAGTTTTTCTTCTGAAGTAACTTCAAGTAATCAAAAATGATACTGTCTTATGATTGTGACTTGGATAGGAGTACAAATACCAGCAGGTATATTTTCTTTAAAGTACACTATGAAGATTTCTTTAGTGTATGGATAATTGTTTTAAAACTATAGAAAAGATGGCTGATTTGATACCAGCATAAAACTATAGAAAAGATGGCTGATTTGATACCAGCATGAGTTTTATTCAATTCTCAAATCCAAGAATTTAATTCGACAAGGACAACAAAACCAAGATTTGTTTTCATGGCAACATAGTCTAATGTATTGACTTTAATATGTGATAGACCTGACATTTGATAATATCAGAGATATATGTAATATCTGCTGATGCAAAAATAATTAATTTTACATCCCAGGGTATAAAATGTTTCCTACAAAGAAAAATAGATATACCATTTAAAATATAATTTTATTTTTTGATTTTTCCATTGTCAATTGAGACATTGTCTTGGATGTTTGATGCTATGTTCAAATAAGACTGTATTTACTCCGAGGGGCCAATTCAAATTTAAATAGTTTGAGGTTTATACATACTTGAATTTAAGCAGGAATGAAATGCCCTCTAGCTAGGAAAATGGGTTAGAATGTTAATCTCAGCATTCAAGCTTAATCTTTAAGCAATGAAGAACAGGATTTCATCAAGATTACAGGAAAATTTGGTAGAGAAAGTCATTTAGCTTACCTTTTTTCTATAGACTATTAATGCCTTTCACATATCTGCTTACCACTAATTATTATGACACTGTTGAAGAAGCATAAAGCCCTGAAAGTAGCACTGAATTGGGAATGAAAAAAAATACAAATTCTAATCTACTTAAAATTCAGTGCTGTATGATGCTAAATGGGACTCAGTTCTCTGAAGTGGTTGGACTGAATGTGTTTTCAAAATGTATTGGGTAGAGCTGACAATTCTGAGGACTACCTGAGTAAGGACAGTGGGAGTAGGTGGGAAAAGAAAGGAAAGGGAATTTCAAAGAAGAATTCTATAATGCACATTCATCACAAATTGGAGCTAGAATCAGCCTTGAAATTAATGTGAAAACCTTTATATTCAGAAAATTAAATTTAAGAATTATTATTGTGAACCCATTTAATAGATGTTTTAGCAAGATAAGTAAGCTTTAGTGAAATAAATTCACCACATAAATAAGCATAAATGGATTAACTATATTATTCACATTTCAGCAATCAGATACCTATGTTTATCTGTTTTTAGTTTGAGACTATAAATGGTGATTATAAAACTGAAGACATTTTGAAGAAAATGTTCTATGACTCAATACAAAATCACACAGAATATAATAAATGTAAGATTTTTTACATCCACTATGTATTAATGTTATTAAAATATACGATTTGGGACA